ACCATGCCTCGGAAAACTGCCATCGGCATCATCCATCCCATTGCAAAAATAGTTGAAACAGACCAAGCAGACCACCAGAGAAAACCAGGCGTGGGAGTCAACAGTGTGGACTCTGCAGGAAACCCAAAAAGTATCGGAGGTGACGCAGCTTCTTTGTGGCACCCCCAAGTTGATGGCAGTTACCTCGAGGAGGAACAACAGAAGATGGTGAGACAGATGCTCTATGAAGAATGTGCTTCATTCGCCCGTGATGATGACGACATTGGATGTATCCCGAGCCTACAGATGACCATCAACCTTAAGGATGACATCCCTGTCTAGAGAACCTACACCTCTGTCCTGAAGCCGCTCTACAAGGAGGTGAAAGAATACGTCCAAGACCTGCTGGCTAGACGGTGGTTCGTCAAGTCCAAGTTGCCTTACTCTGCACCAGTCGTATGTGTCCACAAGAAAGATGGGACACTCAGACTATGCATCGATTACAGGTTGCTGAACCAGAAGACTGTCCCAGATAGGCACCCACTGCCTCGGATTCAGGACCTCACGGACACTCTAGGCGGTTATAGCTGGTTCTCAATCCTGGACCAAGGCAAAGCTTACCACCAAGGGTTCGTGGCTGAAGGATCACGACACTTGACCACGTTCATCACCCCTTGGGGACTGTATGAATGAGAATCCTGTTTGGTTTATCAAATGCCCCTGCAGCATTCCAGAGGAGCATGGAGGAGATACTAGATACCCTGCAAGACGAATGTTGCATTCCTTACCTGGACGATGTCCTCTGTTATGCCAAGTTGTTCGAAAAGCATGTGCAAGGACTCCGAAGAGTACTAAAAGCCCTTCAACGCCACGAAGTGAAGCTGAGACCAACTTGGTGTGAACTGTTCTGGAGAAAAGTCAGGTACGTTGGACGTCTGGTCTCTGCAGATGGAGTTCAGATCGACCTTAAGGACCTGGAAGCAGTCTTTGCCTTGAGAGACAAAAAGCCTGGTACTGTTGGAAACGTTCGCAAACTACTCGGATTCTTAAGTTACTACCGCACTTATATACAGGACTTCTCAAGAATCGCGAAGTCAATCTACGAACTACTCCAAATGAAAAAATAAATACCTTTAAAAAAAAAAGTAGAGGCGTGGATCAGAAAACCAGTCAATATCTGATGTGACCACCATATGCCTCATGCAGCGCGACACATCTCCTTCACATAAAGTTGATCAGGCTGTTGATTGTGGCTTGTGGAATGTTGTCCCACTCCTCTTCAATGGCTGTGCGAAGTTGCTGGATATTGGCGAGAACTGGAATACGCTGTCGTACACGTCGATCCAGAGCATCCCAAACATGCTCAATGGGTGGCAAATCTGGTGAGTATGCAGGCCAAGGAAGAACTGGGACATTTTCAGCTTCCAGGAATTGTGTACAGATCCTTGCGACATCGGGCCGTGTATTATCATGCTGAAACATGAAGTGATGGCGGCGGATAAATGGCACGACAATGGGCCTCAGGATCTCTTCACGGTGTCTCTGTGCATTCAAATTGCCATTGATAAAATGCAATTGTGTTCCTTGTCCATAGCTTATGCCTGCCCATACCATAACCCCACCGCCACCATGGGGCAACCTGTTCACTAAGTTGACATCAGTAAACCGCTCGCCCACACAATGCCATCTTCCCGGTACAGTTGAAACCGGGATTCAACCATGAAGAGCACACTTCTCCAGCTTGCCAGTGGCCATTGAAGTTGAGCATTTGCCCACTGAAGTCGGTTAAGACGCCAAACTGCAGTCTGGTCAAGACCCTGGTGAGGACGTCGAGCATACAGATGAGCTTCCCTGAGATGGCGTCTGACAGTTTGTGCAGAAATTCTTCAGTTGTGCAAACCCACAGTTTCATCAGCTGTCCGGGTGGCTGGTTTTAGACAATCCCGCTGGTGAAGAAGCCGGATGTGGAGCTCCTGGGCTGGCGTGGTTACACGTGGTCTGCGGTTGTGAGGCCGGTTGGACGTACTGCCAAATTCTCTAAAACAATGTTGAGGCGGCTTATGGTAGAGAAGTTAACATTAAATTCTCTGGCAACAGCTCTGGTGGACATTCCTGCAGTCAGCATGCCAATTGCACAGTCCCTCAACTTGAGAAATCTGTGGCATTGTGTTGCGTGACAAAACTTTAGTGGCCTTTTATTGTCCCCAGCACAAGGTGCACCTTTGTAATGATCATGCTGTTTAATCAGCTTCTTGATATGCCACAGCTGTCAGGTGGATGGATTATCTTGGCAAATGAGAAATGCTCACTAACAGCGATGTAAACAAATTTGTGCACACAATTTGAGAGAAATAAGCTTTTTTGTGCATATGGAACATTTCAGGGATCTTTTATTTCAGCTCATGAAACATGGGACCAACACTTTACATGTTGCGTTTATATTTTTGTTCAGTATAAATATATTCTAATACACTGCCTATTCAAGGTATGTAAATGTCTTCTTGTAAAACCAAATGCTCTACCAAATGCTATTTGAAAGAAACTTTTTTTAAATACTTTTTTTCTCTCCAAAATACATTTTCTAAATACACTTAAATACCCTGCCCTAAAAGTTGTGCAAAGAAGTAAGTGTGTTGGATAGATATGGCTGCCTAAACAGCACAGTACTCATGGTCAAGTGACATTTCATAAGCCTCGTTCTGGCAAATACAGATCTTTACTATGAGGAGGATTTCACTAGGCGTAATATATGGCTGGCCCTAGATAAAGCCCCATAGTCTGCCTGATTGTTACAGGACAAAGGTAGGCCATATCTTCACATTGTTTGAGAATGTGTTGATGACCTTGGTCTGAGGTACAAAATATTGGACATTCTCTAACAAGTATGATGTGTATTTTTCCTAAAGTTTTGTGTAGGTGATAGTCATGTCAACATTTTAGTGTCATTAACAATGATTAGAGTTGAAGTTGAATTGGTCAGTGTGAGCTTTTGGACCACAATGCCCATTGCCCAACATAATGTCCAAAGCTTTGCTATTTTGCCTTATTACCCAATTCTGAAATTGTCTTATATCCCATGTGGTGGCCAGTCTGGTTGTTTAACTTCTGCCCCCAGAGGTGTCAGTGTCACATCATATGCATCAGTGTTGAGTTGAGTATAGCGTCCTCTGCTGTCCACTACTCCAGAAGCATTGAGAAGGAGTATGGGCGGAAAGGAGTGGGTGTGTTGAAAGGATTGGGTTGAGCAGTGTTTTTTTTCTTCCGTTTCTTGCCATGCAACTACCATACTGCAAGAGTTTGGACTTCTGTTTTGAAGCCAGAGGAGGAGTCTGAGTCGTATTTCACTGTTAGTATTACAAAAATAATTGTACATTTTCAGTTAGCCTATCAAACTGACGATTGTTTCTTTTTGATGAAAGTACTGATGATGGGTGTACTGTTGCTTGTATTCGTTGTATGCACGTGTTTACTGTGACGGTCACCCTGATATTGGCTACTAGGTAGCTACTTCCCACGCCTTGCGGGACAGTAGTGCTTGGCGAAGGACACTGTGTCCCGGTGTTGTTGCCGTTCATGCCCTCCCCATTGAGTAGACTGTATGTATCAAGGTGTCATCTAGGTTATCAGTATTTGTTATTTATTGTGTAGGCTGCTATCCTCCTTGAAATAAAATCATGGGAGGGGGAAAAAATGGCCACGTTAGTTACCGCCGGCGACATCATGATACAGCTGTCCAGTGGGAAGTGCCTCAGGTTGGCAGGCACCGCGATACATCACCGTGCACTGGTCGCCGGCTTATCGACTCGTAGTGCAGCCCAATCAGCTACGCGAAACGGTCTTGAGTGGCAACAAATCTGGCCAATTAGCTGATTCGCTTTCCATACACTGACTCCTTTCGACACACCCGCTTGCCCATACTCCAGTCGCCATATTGGGCTGCAGCTACCCATACTTGGAAGCATTGCCAAGGGCTGTGCAGTAAGCAATAGAAAGGAGACCAGTGAGGGCTATGGCTTTTAACCCATGCTCACTTAAACATTTTTACATTTTAGTCATTTAGCAGACGCTCTTATCCAGAGCGACTTACAGTTAGTGCATACATTATTTTATTTTTTTTCATACTGGCCCCCCGTGGGAATCGAACCCACAACCCTGGCGTTGCAAACGCCATGCTATACCAACTGAGCTACATCCCTCAGACAGGGGGATGTAGATAAACCAACAGACAGGGTTGTACGAAAGACATCGGTTTTTATTTATAAGTCATTGCTTGTTTTATTTGTTACAGAGATTTGACAGAGATTTTATTTTGTCAACTTTTCTCCTTCCTCCCTCTCACAATCTTTCGCCATCTCTCTCTTACAATGCACCTACTGCTAAATCATGCTTTACTCTTATTCAATCGGCCTTCCTTTTATCCCTATCGCTGAGAAAGAGAGAGAAATTAAGACAGAGGAGTAGGCAAGCTATTTTAGTACAGTACTCATCCCTTTTAAGCTGTCCTTCTTTCCAGTACATGAACAGGGACAAGTCCATTGATTACTTCACAGCAAGTCAAGACAAAACATCAACAATCAATCGCCTACTTGTTTCAAATAAACAATTGAGCATACACCACAGCACCCAAGAGTAAAAGTGTTTGTCTGTAGACACTGAACTCTATATGCATAGATGATGTAGGTATGATGCATGCACTGTTCGATTCGACAGGGAGAGATAGAAGTGAGGGATGGGGAAGAAGAGAAAGAATCGGAGGCAGGGAGGGAGGGAGTTAGAGAGGAATAGTTTCGATGGTACAAGATTCTTTTATTATAAAATAATCCCACTGTCGATACTCACACACAGCACACCCCCATAGACTTCAATCCTCTCAACTCAAAGTATCTCGATAAAGGATAGTGAGAGGGGTGGAGATGGAGAGAAGAGCGAGGGGAGCGAGAGCACGTAAGCGGGCCACAGAGTTGTAGAAGGGGGGAGTGAGGGGGATGACGGAGAGAGGTAGAGGGATTGAAAAGGTGGATTTACTCATCCTCCTTCTCCTCTCCGTGTGTGATGACGTAGCAGATCTGTTTATAGTCTACGTTGCCAGCCACATCTGGGGGAAAGGCAGCCCACAGGTTGGTCATCTGAGGGAGAGGAAGACAGAAGGAGAAGGAGAGGCTTACAACTGGGAACCATTGCAGGAAAATGGACAAAGTTCAGTGTCAGACAGCACACATAAACATAATGTAATTCATTATTACTCTAAATAACCATATCATGAAAGCTCAAACACCATGTTGCTCTTAGGGCAAAATATTCGTAGAGCAAAAGCACTGTGCAAAGAGCAAGAAATAATGTTAATCTCATTATAATCTCAATGTGGTTTAATTTCGAAAATGTCTTTAACAATGTGCATTATAAAGGTGATTGTTTATGTATTGCTCAGTTTACGTAATGTACTAATTGTACACCCCCTTTTGAACCATATTGTTGAAGAAAAGTTTCAAATTAAATCCCTGCGAGATTCCAAAGAGGTTTATGGTATTTTTTGCTATTTGCACAGTGCTTTGGCACTAAGAAAATGTCGCTCTAAATGACTGAATGACTGATAGAATGATAGATCTCTCACCTCCTCAGCAGTGAACCTGTCGCACTGGGTGGTCAGGAGCTCCTCAATGCTGGAGAGGAAAGGAAAGAGGTAGGAAAAGAGAGAGAGAGAGAATTATCAACCAGGGCACACATAAAGACTACCTAAAGATGTTGTGAGTGAATTTATAGAAGAGTAATGGAAGGAAAGGGTACAGGGTGAAAACACGTACAATTCCTTCTTGATGAAGCCGGTAGCCTCGGGGTCCAGGACCTTGAAAGCGCTCACGATAACATCCTCGGGATCAGCACCTAAGAGGAAGGGAAGAAGAGGATCCTCAGTTAAATTCTATATTACCTCAAACTCACAGTGATGGACACAGAAGTGATGGACTAAGAAAAGTGATCGACTAAAACTGATGGACTAAGAAAAGCAGTAGAAGTATAAACAAACAAAACTTTATGTGTATAATATATGTACATTTTATAGTAACTTATACTGAACAAAAATATAAACGCAACATGTAAAGTGTTGGTCCAATGTTTGAAGCTGAAATAAAAGACCCCAGAAATGTTCCATACGCACAAAAAGCATATTTCTCTCAAATGTTGTGCACAAATTTGTTTAGATCCCTTTTAGTGAACATTTCTCCTTTGCCAAGATAATCCATCCACCTGCCAGGTGTGGCATATCAAGAAGCTGATTAAACAGCATTATCATTACACAGGTGCACCTTGTGCTGGGGACAATTTAAGGCCACTCTAAAATGTGCAGTTTTGTCACACAACACAATGCCATAGATGTCTCAAGTTTTGAGGAAGCGTGCAATTGGCATGCTGAGAAGTGTGCTCTTCACGGATGAATCCCGATTTCAACTGTAGAGGACAGATGGCAGATAGTGTGTATGGCGTCGTGTGGGCGAGTGGTTTGCTGATGTCAACATTGTGAACAGAGTGCCCCATGGTGGTGGTGGGGTTATGGTATGGGCAGGCATAAGCTATGGACAAGGAACACAATTGCATTTTATTGATGGCAGTTTGAATGCACAGATATACCGTGAAGAGATCCTGAAGCTCATTGTCGTGCCATTCATCCGCCGCCATCAGTATGATAATGCACGGCCTCATGTCGCAAGGATCTGTACACAATTTCTGGAAGCTGAAAATGTCCCAGTTCTTCCATGGCCTGCATACTCACCAGACATGTCGCCCATTGAGCATGTTTGGGATGCTCTGGATGGACGTGTACGACAGTGGGTTTCAGTTCCTGCCAATGTCCAGCAACTTCACACAGCCATTGAAGAGGAGTGGGACAACATTCCAAAGGCCACAATTAACAGCCTGATCAACTCTATGCACAGGAGATGTGTCGCACTGCATGAGGCAAAATGGTGGTCACACCAGCTACTGATTGGTTTTCTGATCCACGCCCCTACTTTTTTTTTTAAGGTATCTGTGACCAAAAGATGCATAGCTGTATTCCCAGTCATGTGAAATCCATAGATTAGGGCCCAATTAATTTATTTCAACTCAGTAAAATCTTAGAAATTGTTGCATGTTGAGTTTATATTTTTGTTCAGTGTAGATATGTAACTATGCAACTAGTTCATATTCACTATACAGAAAGTATAGAAAGTATAGAAATAGGGACTCAAATATCTGACTGCTCACTCTCATTAAGAAAAGCTATCAAGAATGGTCCACCACCTAAAGGACATCCAGCCAACTGTGGGAAGCATTGGCGTCAACATGGGCCAGCATCCCTGTGGAACGCTTTCGACACCTCGTAGAGTCCATGCCCCAGAAACAAATTGAAGCTGTTCTGAGGGCAAAAGGTGTGTGTTGGGGGGTGCAACTCAATATTAGGAAGGTGTTCTTAATGTTTGGTATACTCAGTGTATGATGGATGAATAACCAGGCCAGTACAGCTCGGCTTGGTTCAGCTGAGTAATGTGAAAAAGATATAAATCGCTCCTAGCAGTTGACCTACCCTTCAGCTTCTCGCCAAACATGGTGAGGAAGACGGTGAAGTTGATGGGACCGCTGGCCTCCTTGATCATGGCTTCCAACTCCTCATTCTTCACGTTCAGTTGACCCATAGTGGCCAGCACGTCCCTAAGATCATCCTTGCTGATGATGCCATCTCTGTTCTGGTCAATGATTGTGAAAGCCTGGCAGGAAGCGAAGCAGATGAGAGATTTGATACCATATAATTCACTGTGGGGCAATCCAAATGACATCGATCATGTTAACATGACAGTATTATGTAAATGTAATATTTATATTGCTTAGAAGCATATGAAAATAAGCTAATGTTATCACACTACCCGGTACCCTATTGAAATGCATTTCCATGACCTCAGTCACCTAATTTCAAAATTCATTAGACTAGTCGATGATAATAGACAGTGTGTAAGTGACAAAACTAGGGTGCACTGCATTGTGAAACTTGAGTGGCGGGAATATTTATATCACAATTCACAAGATTTTCCCAAGATAGTCCGTCAAGATAAATGTGAAAAGGTCTCTCTCCTCTCTCCCCACATAGCTGCATGTGTCACTCAGGTGAAACCCAAGAAGGCTTTAGAGCACACAGGGGACTTGGCAGCTGGCCCGCCACTTGTCTTTTTAAGGTGGTAAAATGGTCTCGGGACGTCAGGCAAGCCTCTTGCGACATTTAGGATCCGGTATTGATTACACCCCTAACACCCCTCCCCTTACACCCCTCGCCCCCTTCCCTGACTAATCCCTCTGCCCCCAACCCCTGTTCCTTTTTTTACCCCCTCATGTCTCCAATTGGCCAAATCAATCACCCAAAGACAGGGATATACCCAAAGACTCTGACACACTTCACATTTTTCCCCTTTTTAAATCGTACAAATTGTTATCAGTTTCCCAAATTATTGTAATTTCTCTACCTCTCTGATTAGGTTGTGCTCTCCTAAATGTTGGGAGAACTTCCACTGTGAACATTTCTACATGGTTTTAACAACTAGTAGGCTATTTCACACCAGCTCAAAGAGCAAAGCCTAGGTGTCACAAAAGCTATTCTGGCTGAGCAGAGGCACAGGTTGGTTGATTGCCTTTTCCGTAAATAGAGGCCTTCAACGTCTTCAAGTCTAGGGGTCTCTCGTAAATTCTGGCTCCCTTTCTCGTCTTCACCCACCCACTAGCGCTAGCATTAGCATCTACCAGCTGTTGGGCAACACATTCCAGGGGGTCACAGGGAAGGGTTCTGAGAGGGGGTGCTGGGGAAGACTACCCAGCAAACCAAAATTGGTTCTGTGAAAGTTCCCAGAACATTCCTTAGGTTGCAGCAAATGTTCTCATAACACAAAAACTGTCCAGTTGTGCTGATGATTATACAATGTCTGTATAAAACCTTTGCCTGATGTTGCAAGAACGTTCCCAGAACACATGTAGTTCTTTACAAGTAGATTGTGTTATTGAATTACCTGGAAACCTAAAGGTGAACATTTGGGGAATGTTCTGTGGTGGTTGTTACAGATGTTGTGCACAACATTTTAGTGACTGTTAGGAGAACATTCCAAGGATATTTTATTTTAAACATTTTCTGAAAAACAGGATGTTATCATCCTAATGTTAGATAAAACCCTAACTAGAACTTAATGGGTCTCTAAGCTAATGTTCTGGGAAATGTTCCCGGTTTGCTGGGTAGTGACCTATCCCAGGTGACCGCTGTCATCAGCAACTAAGTAATTTACGGTTGTCTCCTGCTGGTGACGATTTGTTTTTGGGGGGGTCAACTGGAGCCCAAAAACGTAATCGAATCAAGTCTATGTCTGTCCAGCTCTATGACGGCTATCACTTCCATCACGCCCACAGTGATAGAGACAGTAAAATGTGAACGCCACCAATGAGGACGCCACCTACCTTAGGATGTCCTGTCTTACCTATTACTAAGTCAATGGGTTGTTTGTCTATTTTGGCTTTTGCAAACCTCTTTCAATGGGATCCCCATGTGATGCGTGGAGATGTTACAATATCATGTATCCCAATAACTATGTCGGCTGACTTATTACAACTACTTGACCAAGCATTGATATCTAGTGAAAATAGTGTAGGTGTGGCAGAAAATCCCCCCAAAAACGTACCTCCTTGTACTCCTGGATCTGGCTTTGCTCAAACATGGAGAACACATTAGAGGATCCACCCTCTCCCTGCTGCTGCTTCCTCTTGGCCTTCTTGGGTGCCTGGGGGTCAACGATGAACAGGACATGTCATTTAACTCACAGTAAACACAGCCAACACAACCAACAATTTACTGTAACAGCCTGTTTGGGCCATCCATGCCACTCTGGGTCATTCTGGGCCAAAACGTCTTGGACCTCCACAGTAGCAAGAGGTAGAGGAACTCCCTAAGGTAATTCAACAATATTTTGAGAATGATTCCTCTGTCATTGACTTGTCATTGTCAGATTTCTATGCCTGGGTGCTTTTAGCTTTTGTTTGAATAAGTTGTACCAATTCAAGTCACACTTTATCAGCATAAGGCTTTCGAAGAAAGGTGAGTTGTATAAAAGGCACTTGGCCTGTTCGGTTGTAGCGTCCAAATTGGCTAAGATTCTGTAATATCTTAGAGGCCTCTAGAGCAGTGGTCCCCAAACATCCTTTAAGTATTTCCCTTTGATGCACCAATTGAACAAAATCAGAGTATTAAGCCACAAGACTTGGTCTTGGGTCTTTAGCCCAGGGAGGAAACAGCTTCCACCAATGGGTCCCAACCATAGTTTGGGAAACTGTTCTAGAAGCCTTTAAAATGTAATTCAGTCCATTGTATTGCCATTATCCAGTTTGCATTGGTATCCTACAATCAATGATGCTTTAAGTTGTTAGTTTATTGAAGACAATCCTAGACCCTAGAAACTATTCTCAATTGAGAGGAATGCAAACACACTCACCATCTCTTTAGAGTTTGTGGGGGATTTGGTTGGTCAAGAAGAGAAGCTTATGCCAAGCCGATGTGACTGACATGTTTGTGTTGGCCCCTTGAGGCCTTATATACTAGCTCAAGGGGGCTAACTTTAGCTGCACCATCAAGTTTGGCAAGAAAAGAGGGAGCTGAGGAAAGTAAGAGAGAGAGGGAGGAGCAAGGAGGTGCTCAGGGTATCGCCTTTCCGGCACTCCAAAATAGGCACAGGGAGTCTTGGAATTAGGTGAATTTCAAGCACAACATTCAGACCTTACTTTGGTGTCAGTGTCACACTTGGACTAATATGGACAAACCTCTATTGCAGCCTTGGGGACTATTGAACCCTCCTTCTCTTCCACTTCCTCCTTCTTTCTCAGCATGCCCAGGGTCTTTGTTGTGGCTATGTTTATTGTGTTTAATTCCATCCACCCCAAGAGGGCAAACAACAACACAATGGGCTATTGTGAGATATCCATTCCCTGAGTGTATACATGTCATGCCTGTTACCAGTTGCAGGTCCTTCCTGTTACAACACTTTACACTGCCCATAAACAACAGATAAGTATGTGTTTCAAGTGTTGGCTTGTGCCTCCGGTAAACATATTTTAAAGTCACCACTTGTCTAATTGACCTGTTGAGATCTGTGTATACAGTATGTACCCCCTTTAGTGTGGAAGAAGCCAATTCAATGGATTACAGTAATTACATGTGGAAACTGTTGGCTGAGGGGGATTGGTTACATTCCAGTAATGACAAGGTCACACGTATTCCAGACACAGAACAGAATATAGCAACAATAGCTAAATAATTATATCATATTTCAGTACATGATCTTAGAGCAGTGTTTCCCAATTCCAGTCCTCGAGTACCCTCAACAGCACACATTTGGTTGTTTGATTTGATGACTGGACTAAACAGAAACGGTTTTCCAACATGGAGGCTCTAATTTGGGTTGCTCCTGGTCCCTGGAGACACCCAGGACAGTGCTTGACTGAGCGGGCCACCAGACCACCCACTCAACTCCATATTGGGGCTTCATGGTTGGCCATCTATCATGGAAGTGTACAGTGGAGCTACGTATTGAGATACAGAGTTTCAGGGAGCCGTGAGAACTGATACCTCTCTCCCCTCAAATTACCGCCCAATTTTTCTCTCTTCGACATTCAAGGGCCTTCCCTCTGCCTTAGAGCAAAATATAGTCCCCAAACTGACCTAATTTGATTCTCCCAAAAATCTGTCCACCCTCAGTTGATGTATTTTCTTCTCAGTCTCTGCTTTTCTCCCTCATACACTTTGCTTAACTTGTGAGAAGAACCAGTGGAGAAGTTTCAGTTGGAAGTAACGTCATGGGCTTAGTTGACAAGTGAGGAAAAAGAGGAGAGCTTTGAAAGTGTGTAAAAAACAACAGCTGTGGATAGACCAAAAATAGCACTGCCTTTGCCTCCCCCTGTTCTCATTCTGAGAATTGTTTTAAGATGGTCATACCAAGGGTCATTTAAGCTATTTGATTGAGAATTTTAGGACCCCTGTAGGTATAAAAAAAAAGATTTACTAATAATTTTATTAAACATTGAAATTGGCCTTTCTGCTATAAGCCCATAGAAATGCATTGAATAACATATACATTAATGGCAAAGCAGATCAAAAGAAAGTATGTTTTGAAGTGTCTGTCCTACAGTGCATTCGGAAAGTATTTTTATTTTATTATTTTTATTTTTTTATTTTTGGTCATTTAGCAGACGCTCTTATCCAGAGCGACTTACAGACCCCTTGACTATTTCCACATTTTATTACGTTACAGCCTTATTCTAAAATGGATTATCAATCTACACCCAATACCCCATAATGAGAAAGCAAAAACAGGTTTTTAGACATTTTAGCAAATTTATTAAAAATAAAAAAACGGAAATATCACATTTACATAAGTATTCAGACCCTTTACTCAGTACTTTGTTGAAGCACCTTTGGCAGCGATTACAGCCTCAAGTCTTCTTAGGTATGACGCTACAAGCTTGGCACCCCTGTATTTGGGGAGTTTCTCCCATTCTTCTCTGCAGATCCTCTCAAGCTCTGTCAGGTTGGATGGGGAGCGTTAATGCACAGCTATTTTCAGGTCTCTCCAGAGATGTTCGATCAGGTTCAAGTCCAGGTTCTGGCTGGGCCACTCAAGGACATTCAGAGACTTGTCCCGAAGCCACTCCTGCATTGTCTTGGCTGTGTGCTTAGGGTCGATGTCCTGTTGAAAGGTGAACCTTCGCCCCAGTCTGAGGTCGTGAGCGCTCTGGAGCAGGTTTTCATCAAGGATCTCTCTTTACTTTGCTCCGTTCATCTATCCCTCAATCCTGTCTCCCAGTCCCTGCCACTGAAAAACACCCCCACAGCATGATGCTGCCACCACCTACATACACATAAACATACATACACATACATATATATATATATATATATACACATACATACATACATACATACATACACACACATATACATATATATATATATAATTTTTTAAAATATATTTTCCTTTCTTACTTTCCAACCCCACTACCCCTTCCCTAATTGGTGTAAACTAGTGAACAACAATGCTTAGGCCTCTACTTCCAGCTTATACATACTATATACATTTTACGGACACAGTCAATTTTACAATAATTCTATTTTGTTTGTTTTTACTCCTGAACTTCCTCTACCCTTAAACTCTCCCATCATTTTCATGATGTCCATCCGGTTTGCTTCTATATGCTACAGTGAGGGAAAAAAGTATTTGATCCCCTGCTGATTTTGTACGTTTGCCCACTGACAAAGAAATGATCAGTCTATAATGTTAATGGTAGGTTTATTTGAACAGTGAGAGACAGAATAACAACAACAAAATCCAGAAAAACGCATGTCAAAAATGTTATAAATTGATTAGCATTTTAATGAGGGAAATAAGTATTTGACCCCCTCTCAATCAGAAAGATTTCTGGCTCCCAGGTGTCTTTTATACAGGTAACGAGCTGAGATTAGGAGCACACTCATAAAGGGAGTGCTCCTAATCTCAGCTTGTTACCTGTATAAAAGACACCAGTCCACAGAAGCAATCAATCAGATTCCAAACTCTCCACCATGGCCAAGACCAAAGAGCTCTCCAAGGATGTCAGGGACAAGATTGTAGACCTACACAAGGCTGGAATGGGCTACAAGACCATCGCCAAGCAGCTTGGTGAGAAGGTGACAACAGTTGGTGCGATTATTCGCAAAATGGAAGAAACACAAAAGAACTGTCAATCTCCCTCGGCCTGGGACTCCATGCAAGATCTCATCGTGGTCCCCCTGCTCAAGAAAGCACATAAACAGGCCCGTCTGAAGTTTGCCAATGAACATCTGAATGATTCAGAGGAGAACTGGGTGAAAGTGTTGTGGTCAGATGAGACCAAAATCGAGCTCTTTGGCATCAACTCAACTCGCCGTGTTTGGAGGAGGAGGAATGCTGCCTATGACTCAAGAACACCATTCCCACCGTCAAACATGGAGGTGGAAACATTATGCTTTGGGGGTGTTTTTCTGCTAAAGGGACAGGACAACTTCACTGCATCAAAGGGACGATGGACGGGGCCATGTACCGTCAAATCTTGGGTGAGAACCTCCTTCCCTCAGCCAGGGCATTAAAAATGGGTCGTGGATGGGTATTCCAACATGACAATGACCCAAAACACACGGCCAAGGCAACAAAGGAGTGGCTCAAGAAGAAGCACATTAAGGTCCTGGAGTGGCCTAGCCAGTCTCCAGACCTTAATCCCGTAGTAAATCTGTGGAGGGAGCTGAAGGTTCGAGTTGCCAAACGTCAGCCTCGAAACCTTAATGACTTGGAGAAGATCTGCAAAGAGGAGTGGAACAAAATCCCTCTTGAGATGTGTGCAAACCTGGTGGCCAACTGCAAGAAACGTCTGACCTCTGTGATTGCCAACAAGGGTTTTGCCACCAAGTACTAAGTCATGTTGTGCAGAGGGGTCAAATACTTATTTCCCTCATTATAATGCAAATCAATTTATAACATTTTTGACATGCGTTTTTCTGGATTTTTTGTTGTTGTTATTCTGTCTCTCACTGTTCAAATAAACTTACCATTAAAATTATAGACTGATCATGTGTTTGCCAGTGGGCAAACGTACAAAATCAGCAGGGGATCAAATACTTTTTTCCCCTCACTGTATATCTTTCTAACTGTGCTCTTTCACAAAAGCTCTCAACCTATAACCTATATCCTTATTATGGACACAGTATGCTTTACATTAGTTATCTTGTTGTTATTAGTCCCATCCTTCAGCTCCATTCAACACCTCCCATCTTTCTCTTAACACCATCCATTTGGATTTCTATTTGCCATTTATTTTTCAACTGTACTGTGATGTTTCACAAAAGTTTTGAACCCTTCTATTCTCATTGTTTCTACAGATTGTAAATTGAAAATATTTTTTTTGCTAAAGGAATTATTATATTATTGATCAATTGACTATAACTTTTCAGATCACCCAGTAGTGCTATTTGCAGGGTTAGCTCCAGGTAAATATTGCAATCATTCAGCCATTCCTGGACCTGTGTCCAAAAACAAGCTACAAATGGACAGTACCAAAACAAATTATCTCATGATTCTGTCTCTTCACAGCAAAATCTGCAGAGCTGGGAAGATTGTATCCCCGATATAAATAACATTCTATTGGTAGCAAGAATTTTGTATAATAATTTAAATTGAAAAATTCTAAGTTTGGAATCCGGCTACGTTTTGTATATCAGTTCATAAACCATGTGCCATGGAATCGGTACGTCAAAAATCTCTTCCCAACTATTTTGCAATCTATATGGGACGGCTGTCAATCCTTTGGTCCTCATATGAAACTGGTATACTTTTTTATTTATCACAATTTTCTTTAACCAATTATGTTATGTGTCAAGGTTGGCTGTAGGTGGGTGTATGGGTGGAATCAAGCGCAAGGACACCGAAGTCAATAATCCAAAAGACTTTAGTCAAAATTACCAATAAGGCAAACAGGAAAACTCGCCCGAAGGCGGAACGACGCACGTAGGCGACCAAAATAAAGGCGCACGAAAACAGGTGCGTAAATACGCTCCAGCGCAGTGGAGTAGTAAGCTCAACCGAGCGAAATAGTCAAACGACCAGCAAATACGACAGTACACGAAACAATAACACACAACACCTGACAAACACAACGAGAACTAAATAGGACACTAATGACACTAAATGATAACAGGTGTGAAAACAATCAGACAAAAGCAAACGAACATGAAACATACAACGGTGGCAGCTAGTATTCCGGAGACAACGAACGCCGAAGCCTGCCCGAACAAGGAAGAGAGGCAGCCTCGGCCGAAACCGTGA